GGAGTAATACCGCGGTATAACGCTGCTATGGACCATGGAAGGCCAGGTGTGCGGTCGAATGTTCCTTCGCCTAAAAGCATACTTCGCGTGCCTCCAATGCTGGACAGACCTTCGCAATGGTCTTTCCTAGGCAGCATTGCCCCATGCATCTATACGACCAAGCGCCTCGCTCCATATGGTATGGTCCACATTACTGATGGCACTGCAATTCCACAAATGGCAGTTGTCTTCATCCTGGATATCGCGGACTTCACAAGGAAACTGGGAACTCAGGCTAATCCGAGCAAATCACGTGATTATTTTGCGTGACTACTGGTGACCAGATGGTACCTACCTCTTGTATGGTCGGAGAAAACGAAGCGACGTGAATCACTTGCCTCGCTGGCTCAGTTGGTAGAGCGTAGGTCTCATAATCCTAAGGTCGTGAGTTCGAGCCTCACGTGGGGCACATTCTTTTGGTTCTGGCGTCAACCTTCTTTTTGTTCCAGGAAGCCAGCTTTTTTCCCCTCTGCCCAGTAAGCACTTGATTGAGTGCTCGTAAAGAACTGGCCACTTTTTGGAATCGTAGTGCAATGTGGCTGTCTTGTTGATGATACAGCCGAGCCCCTCGAGAAGTATCTCCTCAGTATTCGCATGACCATTGCCAGCTCTGCTTGGCCAAAGAAGGCGTTTAAGGGAGTGGAGGATCGTTCTGTTATCAGCGCTGATTTTTTGAACAGCTGTACGTCTCTGATTCACAGAGTAATCAATGTGGATGGACTGTTTATTATTTGTTCACTGCTGTTTGTTGTCTCTGCAATATAGATATGTCAATCTCCTTTGGTTTTGGGGCGAAAAAGGAAAAAGAAAAAAGAAAAAAAAGTAACTAATATAGTTCGAAGCCCTCAATAAGGAAGGGGGCCCGCTATGCGATTCATGGCCCATGACATGGCTGACCAGTAGAGGCAAGTCGCGCCTACGGCAGCCTTTGCAATCCAATCTGATTGCCCATCCATAATTACGTAGCCACTCAACAGTGACCCATGTACTGCGCTTACAACTGTGGTCATGATGATTCCAACAACTCGCGCCCAGTAATGATGTGTGAGGTTGGCGATATCATCATCCTCGAGGTCGAGAGCATATTCTGTCAAGATCAAGACTCCCAGGAAAAGGACAAATAGAAAGAAAACGAGAATGGCCTGGGTCCCGATATAAATAATCCAATGCAATCCCACAAGGTTGTATCCTGGTGCTTCAAATCCCGAATGACGAAATAAAGCTTTGGCGCGTGATCCACGGTCACTATCTGAATTGACGTTATCGCTGTTAGGTTTGCCAAAATGTAGTGGAGGGCCAGCAAGAACCGGGGCAGAATGATGCACAAGCACCATAGGGCCAGGATTAAATGTCGGTATATGCGGTGGCACGCCCGGCTCTGCATGTATGTGATTGTTTTCGCCATTGTCAGCGTTGATTGATTTGTCCGTCGGTGGCTCTAGTAATGGCAAGGCTGCGAAAAGAGGAGAAATTGGCTCTGCAGGGCTTCCAGTAGCGATCGGTATTGAGATCGGTGTATCAACAAGTTGTTCTGTAGTATGGAAAGATTGCTGTGGCTGAATATTGCGTTCCAGCTGTTCGATTAGCTCTGGGGAAGTACTCAGAGAGGCTGGTATTTGGGGGCTTCTGAGGTGATCTGGTAACAGCGATTTAAACAGAGACGGATCTGCAACATTCCGCTTTTGTATTGTTGGATGTCCCTGCTCTGGTAAATTATGAGGGTCCTGTTGTTGAACTTCCGAGGTTGGCTTGTCGACTATCATAGATGATAGGAACAAAGGTTGCCACGGTTCTGCTTTCTCCAATGTGTCCTTCAAGCTTTCGGGAATTCCTTCGGGCATTGCCTGAATTACATGTTCCCACCCAGGGGACTGGGCGATTTTGGCCAGAGAACTCGTAGTTTGCTGCCCAGTCTCCATTTTGAATATCCCAGTCGGGACTGCTGTGGCTGCAATAGGCACTGAGTGGAGGTGGGTGGGCGAGTGAATTATCCGGTTGTAGGAGCTATTGTGCGCGTTTGTTAACAAGTGAACCATTATCAAATGTGTCGCAATAAGAAAACAAAGGCCGGATCCAGCTAGGACGACATAGGTTCTGGCGCGCTGAACAGTTAACGATATGCATGAAAATCGCTCCAGATAGCGGTAGGAAAAGCATAGGATAGGAAAGACAGTCATTGGCGGGACAAGTGCAATGAGTATGATCGCAATTGGCGGTATAGTGACAAATGGTGTCGATGAAGAGACAAAGGCAGAGGTAAGCGCAAGTGGGATATAGCCCAGAGATGCCACTGAATGGAAAAAAGCATGTATGACAGGCCGCCGCGCCATATTGTGGACAGTCTTTGCTCTGGCGAGAAGGAGAAAAAAAGAGAAGCGAAAAGTGAAAAGGATTGGGCGGCAAAGCTGTTGGATTGGCAAGAGTCGAGAGGGAAGGGAAAAGAAATAGAGAATTGCAGCTCCTATTTGGCAGCAAAGATGGTAGGCACAGAGGGAATGTAGATTCTATTCTCACCGAGGCAAATTAGCCACAGCGAGGCGAGAGTGGAATACAAAGCAAAGGTGAGCTATAGACTGGGTTAAAAAAAAAAAAAAAAAAAAGGCGATTCTTCCAGCTTTGACCAACAATCAATAGTCTTCTTTCTTTTTTCTTTCTTCTTTTTTGTCATTGTTGTTTTATTACTTTACTTTTTTCCTCAGGCACCAGACTTGAACCTCCAAGTCATGCAATGTCTCCACAACATTGAACTTGTTCTTGATCCCATCAAAAAAATGAGACTCCTTGTCCTCAGTTAAATGCCGCCGCTTGTAACCAAGGTAAAGAGTTGTCCTTCCAGGTGTGCAAAGCCCACAGAGAGTTTCCAAAAGTGATTTGAAACTATCTACCTCGTACACTACATCAGATGCGATTACTATATCAAGCTCCCCCACTCCCAGCTGTGCTAGGTGGGTGGCACCCCATGCCAGCTCTTTGGCTACAATGTTAATATTAGGTGCTATTCTGTCCCAATTCGAAGAAACGTTAAAATTGATCAAGCCCAGCGCATCTGCTAGATCAGTCAGCATCACCGTCGTACAAGGTGGTGTGGGTGAGTTACAAGAAAGAGGTGTGATTGAGCCAGTCTGTGATGACAAAATCGAGCTCCCGCGGGAAGATTCGAGCTCGACTTGCGCCAAGCCGGCTAGGAAGATACCGAGGAGGCCTGTTCCTGCACTGAGGTCCAAAATTCGTTTGCCTGCAAATACAGAGGGTGCTGACTGGTAGAGATTATGGGTTACTTTTTTTGAAAAAATGTCTATCAAAATAAATGCCGAGTCCCAGACGCGACCTTGAGGGACATTGTTCCATGTCTCTTTCAGAAGCATAATACGGCGGCTAAGACCATTGCGTTGAGGAATGCTGATAGGACGCAAGACCTGACGGGTATCATCAACACGGCGAGTGTCCAACGAGATTGTGAGGGGACCGAGGACCAAAGGCACGATCCCCTGATCGCGTTCAGAGCTGATGCTGATCCAAAATGTCACTGGAGCCTGCTCCTGTGTGGGCAGCACACGTAATTCCAGTCCTCCTCGACCAGAGTTTCCAACCCCTGGCCCAGATAAACTCTCCAACCCGAGCCAGTTAGTGGACTGTAGCGCGCGCTTTTCGAGTACGAGGCTACAGTTTGGTGGACTCTGGTTCGAGATTTGCCCTTCCCATTCATACAGTAGGCAGCAATCCAGAGGCAAGAGTGATTGTCCATCTTTGAGTTTAAAGTTCTGTTTTGGACTTGCTTCGTATTGGAACCCTCCAAATTCGCTTAAAAGTTCCAAGGTGATGCTGATCCATGTCCCGAGCTTAATGCCACAGGGCATGGAACACGTCGGAAGTAATCTGAACAAAGTTTGGGGACAACAATCCATTGATGGTGATGAAGGAGGTGTAGACAATGGAGATATGCTTGAGCATTTGTCACAGTCGTCTCCAAACAGAGGCGGGGACGGAGACGGAGACGGGGATGGGGATAGAATGCTGTATGGGAGAAAGAGAGAGTCGAGCTCGCGGCGGGACATGAGCACAGGTTGCTCTGCTATCATGGGGATCTGAGGAAAGAGTGAAGGATTTGATGCTTGAATAGATCGCCCAGGATGGGATGATTGACGACGCCTCTGACGCGTGGAAAGAAGAAAGAAAGAAAGAGCTTCTGGAATTGGAGATATAAAAAGATATGTTTTGTAGGCCGAGTTGTTGGGAAACAATAAAGGTAGTGTGGGGGGAGGGAGGAGCAGAGATGCGCAGGGATTGAAGGCGTGTTTGGTTTGTGAAGGGAATGAATGCAAGGTAGGATGCTGTTGAATGAATGTCAGGGAAGTACACGTCTGTGAGATTGAACAAAAAGGAACAAAAGAAAAAAGGGGTAGTAATGAAGGAATGAAGGAATGAATGAATGAATGAATAAATGAGCGAATGAAATTAATGAACAAAGCGAGAGCAATGGATCATTTCAATCTTTTTTTTTTTTTTTT